TTATAATTTTACATATTATTTAAATTATTAATTTTTTAATTCATTTGTAATCTATAATATTAAGTATATATACTTCTTTAATGATATATAACAATTATATAAAAAATTATACAAAAAAAATTATTTTTATATCATTATTACTTTTTATATCAAGCATTTAGCCTTGAATAAGAACCGAAAATTTTCTCTCGTATTTTTTAATTCTCATATTAATTTAAGTGGCGCCACTCACATCGGCTTACACGGGCCACACAATTAAAATTGTAAAGTTTTATTAATGTGGTTAACGAAGTTGCTTGGGAATAGATAAAAATGAAACAGTTTAAAAGGTAATTGATAAGTTTAAAAGAAAATAAATATTTTTGACTAGAATAAAAAAGAATAATAGTTAATTAATGATTTCTTAAATTAAGCGCGTCGAAAATGATAAATGCAGCTAGAAGTGGCAAGATCATACTCGGCCCAACTCGTATAAAATCATTTAGGGTCGATTGCTCTCTTCATATTTAAATAATAAACACTTTTTTAATTTAAGATTTGTTTTAAAATAATAGTTATTTAAAAAAAATTTTAAAAGTGATAATATTTTTTTCTATTAAATCTTACAATTATTTCTTAATTTTAATTATTTATCTTATCATAAAAATTTATTTATTTTATTTTTTATTATTTTTAAATCTTTAATTTTGAGATAAAAATAGAAAAAGTTTATTATTTTAAAACAGAACAAGTAGTATTAGATTTGTGCTTCTTTAGGACAATCTACAAAACAAACATACAATAAAGGCCAAGGAGGGGAGATAAATAGGGGGGTCACAAAATCCCCCTTCAAATTCTTTAATCTCTTCAATTTGGAAAATTTTGATTTATTTTTATTTTTTCATTTTGCGTTTTTTCCTAAAAATATAATTAAGTTTTTTATTTTAACTTTTATTTAAAAAATAAATTATGCAATTTAAATTAATTTTGTAATAAATTTTATCTAATTGATTTAATTAAATAAAAAAACTTTCTCATCTCTTTCTTTTATTTTAATCTATCTTAGGATCTGTTTGCTAAGCAGTTAAAACTCAGTAAATTATTAGTAGCAAGTAAGGGATAATAATTAGTGAATAGTAAAAAATAGATAATAGATAGTTAATAGTAATTTTTGATTTATATACTGTTTGATTATATAATAATTAACACTTATTATTTGACAATAAACAACTAATAAAGAAATGTTTAAAGGTAGTTAAATATATTTTTTTCTTTTTATATTTTTATATCAAAATTATAAATTTTATGAAAATAATAATGAGTAAAAGAATTAATGAAATAAAATATACCAGTGTAAATTGCACATTTATTTTTATTTTTAATAAAAAATATTATTTTTAAATAAAATCAAAATTTTTTTAATTATTTATTATTAAAATTTATTTATTAAACTAATATAATTTTTGAGGATGAAATAGTGTAAAAACTAAAAATATAATAATCAAAAAATTAAATTTGAAACTGATTAGAAAAATTGGACAAAATTGTCAACCATCAGCGCCAAAAGCGGTATACCAAATGAGCCTGAACATTCTCTCTGCTTCCTTTTCCTTGACGTAGAAGAAGTCGAACAAGCTGCTTCCTTTTCCTTAACGTTAAAAAAA